CTTTCAGTTCCTCAATTGTACCAGCCATATTTTCACTTCTCAGTGGTCACACTAAGTTTAAATTTAAATTTACTAAATTTAAAAATCAAGAATTCATGTTATGAATTCCAGGGATGAGATTTATGCAAAAACAGGCATTCCAGCAGCTACCACATTCTGCTGTCACTGCCTGCTTCCAAGAAAATGTACTAAATGTTGGACTAATTAATGGCAGGAAACTACTGTCCCCTCTGGGTTTTGTATCTACCCAAGTGACAGTGGTACTCTCTGACCATAGTTAAAACAATTATGTTATAAAAAGTAACTAGAGGGCCAGGGATTTAGCTCAGTGGTTCTGCCACCTGCCTCTCAAGCACAAGGTCTCAAGATCTATCCCTGGTACCAAAAAAAAAACCCCTAGAAAGAGAATGTAAGTTAGTAGTAGGGAAACAAATCCTTTCAATGTGTTTCTTATTCTTCCTTATCTTAATTATTTTATTTCAGTAATAACTACAAAGTAAAATGTAATCATAAAAATTTTTTGTTTGTAGTGAACAAGTGTTTATGTTCTAGAATAGTAATGTCCATTAGGACTTTCTGTGACAAGGAAAATGTTGCATTTCCTTGCTGACAAATGGTATTCCCTACACATGTGTGACTACTGAGAAGTGGAACTATGGCTGGTACAACTGAGGAACTGAAAGGTAAACTTTATTTAATTTCGTTATATTTAGTTAAAAAAAATACAGATTCTCTACAGAGATTCCAATACTCACTATCCATAAATACCAATATTCTTGCGGCAAAAGGCTTTTAAAAATATCAACTATATCCTCAAATGTCTTCATCATTCTGATCACCAACAAAAACAGCATCATTTTCATAGGCTTATTCTTCTATTCAAATACAAAATTAATTATGATAGATTACAATGGCACTTTAATATAAACATCATAAACACCATTGTGGTGAATTAAAAAATGACTAGCATAGCTAGCAACAACCATTAAGATTCTTGCTAGTCCAGGATTTTCTGAGTGTGTACTGGAAAAATGGTCTTATGACATATTATATTATATCATACCCTACTTGTAATATTGCTATTTTGTGGCACTGAGATTAAAACCAGGGGTTCATACATGCTAGGCAAGTGCTCTATCAAGCTACAGCTATACCCACAACCCTTTTTAGTTTTATGACAGGGTCTTGCAAGTTGCCCAGGGTGCCTTTAACTTGAGACCTCCTACCTCAGCCTCAGGACTGAGTAGGTGGGATTATAGACATGGACCACTGTCGTGTGGCTTAATGTTCCCTTTTAAACCTGAGTTAGGGAATTATTTACAAAATAGGATATGGTACCAAAATGTCTTAACCAAATACGAACACTTAGAATTTTGTGTTCATCAAAACACCCAAATAAGAATTAACTGACTTATAAACTGGGACTGATAACATGAGTATTTCAAAACTCATTTTCAGTACATGACATTTTAAACACTAAGAATAAAATTTTTGTATGTAAGGTAAAAAAAACAAAGTTTCTTCCATAATTACACTAGGACAGGGTTCAATGGAGTGTTGAATGCAGTACCACCCAAGCAATCAACAAAAATATGAATCTACTTCTATTAATGGTTTTCAAGCTCAAAGTGTTAAGGACAATGTAAAAATTCCCCTTCAATATCTATTATTTAACATAATTCTGAATGTTCAAACATGTAATAGAAATTAAATGAGGTATAAAGATCAGAAAGAAGGAAACAAAAATAAGATTTACTGAGAATAATAGGATTTTCATGAAAGACTACAAGAAAGGTCAAAATGAGTCCCATTTAACACACACACATATATTCTGCTCAAATCCAAAACTGCTCTAGAATAAAGTTTTTAATTTTTAAAACGATATTATGCATGCATCATATATTTATCTTATAGTTTAATAATTATCTTACATACGATAACTATGTAATAACTAAGAGAACCGTCACTACACTCAATGACAGCAACAAGAATATGAAAGGGGGGGCGGGGATTTAGCTCAGTGGTTCCGCCACCGCCTGCCTCACAAGCACAAGGTCCGGAGTTCAATCCCCAGTACCAAAAAAAAGAATATGAAAGGGAACTGGGAATTAGGACTTGCTGGACGCCACAGAGAGGCAGAGAAGAGATAGCCCTCTGCATGGTTCATAGCCGAAAAGATAAAGGGCAACATTTCTCCACCTCTCTAACTGCTGGTTTGAGTTATATACATCAGTTCTAGTACATAACGAGAAGCAGAAGTGCTTCTTCTAATGTATGCCCTTACGGGTTTCACTTTTTACCTTTGACAGCGGCAGGGTGACTGAATACCCTGGCTGCCGAGAACTCACGAGTTCCCAGGCTATGGGAGTTTTAGTGGTGCAACTGGGAAAGTCCTGGGCAAACTAGCGCAGGTTGGTCACCTATAGCTCTGACCCTGTCGGTACCTTTCTTTAGTGATACTTTATGAGCATCATTTCATTTATACTGAGAAACTACACAAAGGCAAGAAGAGCAGTTCCAATGTAACAGAAGTCAGGTTAATTATGTAAAATTAATTATGACTGGCTATTTGCAAGTAAAGTAAAAGCAAGGAGTTCCCTAAAATCACATTACAGAACAAGAACTTCTTGGCTTGGAGTGGGGAGAGAAGAGAAAATTTAAAAATTAAGCCCACCTGCTGTGGACTTATTTGCACCACCAAAAACCAAATGAAAACAAAAAGTCCAGTTCCCTTGATTAGGTTTTAATCTGGGTGATAACTGTACACTGTGAAAACTGAAGGTGACTGTCGCAGTTACAAATGAAGATAAATAACTAGATTTTCAAAATATACCACTTTCCTAAATGATTTTTATTCATTCAGAAAAAAATAAATTTGCAGGGACATGCACGGTTTAGCTGCAGAAAAAAACTACAAAATATTGAATATAAAGGAAGAAGAAATTTAGTTCCATTTCATAAATTTAACACAATAAGTTGATCTAAGGCTCAATGTCAAATTTTTTAGTTAAAATTTCTAACACTCATTTTTGCTTTTTAAAAATGTTTTTCTCTAATAAAAAATCATCTGAAAGTGTTTGATGGAAAATATTCTATTCATATTATTTACATTCATTTCACTAACTTGTCCTGTTATAGAAAATTAGGTTAATATAAATCTCTCCATTAGGACATAGGGAGATATTTCTTTATACACAGAAAATACTGAAGGGAATGGACCATTCATGATACCATTCAAAAATTATACTATTCTGAACCGGAGATTTTGATCGCCAAGGAGCTTCCAAAATCTGACTTTTAAAGAAGAGATTAGAAAGAATGCTGCTGTTTTTGTTGCTTTTGTAGAAACTGAAGCTAGCTGCACTTACCACTTCTCGCTACAATTACAATACCTGCATTTATCTCCTTTCTGCCATCTATAGTACAGGTGTTAAAGCTGTAATGGGAAACTCAAACCTGTTCCTTATCAGTGGGAGCTGGCTTTGGCCACCTGGGGAGTTTCTCCACAATCATCAGGTAGGAAGGCAGTAAGACTGTGAGACGGAAAATAGGGTAACAGAGCTATCAAGAGACACTGCACTCAGCACTTTGTAGCCATTAATGCTTGATAATGGTGATTAAATTTAACTATTTAAAACACAAATATAATCGCCTAATGAAGTAAACCTCAAGTTTTAGGTGCCAGAAGACTGCAGATCCCAGGATCTCCTCAGCAGATAAACTGTTGCTAGTGAAAATCCCAACAATCTGCATTTCTAAAAAGCTGGAGATTTTTGTGCAATTCTCCACCAGAATGACTGATAAGGATCTAGTACTTAACATTTAAAATGCAATATGAGAAACACAATGAGGGAGATGTGGATCTAACCTACCAAGACCTGAGTTAAAGTCAACTGTTCTGGAGATTCAGAAAAGCATAACTACATTCCTGAATACCAAGGAAAATACAATCAACAATTAAGCAATCCCCAAACACAATTTGAAAATTTCCTGTTACAAAATACCTATAGTCTCTCAGGAGCACATGAATAAAGCTTTAGTATTTTATAAACCAGTGTGAACTATTAGTTCACAAAGCAAAATACTACTATAAGGACCAATTCAGAAGCATAATTAAGATAATTGTTAATGAACACTTAAAATTTGGGGGTTTGGATGTATCATATTTGATAACCTAAAAACTGTCCTTTCAGTTTATTCAAGTAGTTTAAATTATGAAAATATGGCATTTTACATGACTTATCCTGAAAGGAAAAATAAAAGTTAAAGTAGTGGGCCGGGGATTTATTTAGCTCAGTGGTTTCACCGCCTGCTGCGCAAGCTCAAGGAGCTGAGTTCAATCCCCGGTACCAAAAAAAAAAAAGGAAAGTAGCATTCATATAAAGATCCCATAATCAATAGCCTTTCTAATTTAGCTCAAGTTGTTTCTTTGGGCCTAAATTTCTTCACCTGCACGTGAGGCTATCAAACTGAAAACTGGGTTTAAAAATTGGTTTAAGCCAAATGTGGAAACACATACCTGTAATGTCAGGGACTCAGGAAGCTGAGTCAGGAGACTGCATGCTTGAGCTCAGCTTGACCCATTTGATAAGACAAAATTTTTAGAATGGACTGGGGATATAGCTCAGCATTTCCTAAATTAAATCCCTCATATGGCAAAACAAAATGTTTCTTGAGATTAATATAATTATATTCACAAATTAATGGGGTACTAAAGAAAAAAGAGCAACGAAATTACCTTGGTTTTAAACTTTATGTAATAAAGAATCTTTAATATGAACACAAATGTTATAGGCACACTATTAAAATAGAAATTGGGGTTTAGTAGGTCTGAAGTGGGAACCTTAAATTATTTATTTCTGAAACAAGCTCCCTGGTGATATAGGATATTGCTGCTATATGGAGTGAATGTCCTTTAACAAGACAGGATTTAGTAAACCCAAAGGTAAAACAGTCATAAAACATGGTTAAACAGTCAACAATACCAAAAACCTATGGAAAAACAAATTATTTTTTAATCAGACATATACAAAGCACAATTTGCCTAAAGCATTAAAGGACTTAATAGACCTAACATACAATTTTTAATAGACCAATATGTAGCAGGTGAGCCAACCTTTAAATATATGGCTAAAGTTCAACTGTGGCTAAACATTATCATCACCCGGGGAGACTTTAAAAGCTAGAGATGCCTGAAAACCTGCCACCCCCAACCTAGTTCAATTAAATCAGAATTTCTGGAGATGAGACCCAGGTATTAAAGTGTCTTGCCTTTTTTAAGGCTCCCAGGTGATCATAAAATTGAGGACCACTAGGCTACACTTAAGGCAATAACGTGGCAAAATACACAAAAATAACAAATCCAAGTTGTTCTTTTTAGTATCTCAGGGAGTATGTGGGTTTTAACTGAACTAAGAATACCTGTCTTAGTTACTTTGCCCACTGCTGAGTCAAAATATGAGGCACCCACAACTTAAAGGAGAAAAAGGTTTATTTTGGCTCACAGTTTCAGCTGGCTCCAAGGCAAAAACAGCATGGCAGAGGGGCCTAGTGGAGAAAAACGTCCTCAACCCATGCCAACCAGGAAGCAGACAGAGAAAGGAGACGCTAGAGACAAGAATACACCCTTCCAGGTCACGCCCCAGTGACCACCTCCAACCAGGGGACCTCCTAATAGCACATCCAGCTACTGAACTTATGAATGGATGAATCCACTGGAGTACAGTGACCCCATGATCCAATCACCCTCCAAACACAAACTGTTCATCCAATGAGCAAATGAACTGACTGCATATTTGGCATCATAGATGAAATGGGTTTCACCAAGTAAAATGCATGAAAAACACGTGGATGGCTTGCTAAGCCAAGGATTAATGCACCCACCTTGAATTTCTAATTCTGTAGATCCAAGAGGGGCCCAAGAATCTGCATTCCTAACAAGTGATGCTGATGCTGTGGACCAAGAACCACATTCTGAGAATCACTGAAAGGATAAAAGTTCACAATCTAAAAGAATACAATTTTCCTTTTTAATATAGAAAATGGTGCCTTTACAGAACTACAAGTCTTTATCACATTTCTAGTTTTAAAATGCAGAGTAAGGTATGGGTTTCTCTGCAGTTTCTTAAGACAAGCTTGGTACCAGTTCTCTCCATCTCCAAGCATCTGCCTCACATGATCAACATTAACAAACAACACGGAAATCTTTTGTTTCCAATCTGACCTCATCTTTTAACAAATGAGAAACTTTCATCAGTCATGAAACTGAAAATGAGGCTTACAATTCTGACAGGTGTATGCTTTCTCTAAAAACCAGATGCTCTATGTTTTAAAACATTGCATTTTTACAACTCTTTCACTGAGATTTTAATTAATGAAATATAGCAAGTGAATTGGGGGTACTCAAACAAAATTTTCATCTACTCCCACAATGAAACCCTTTCATAGGTGGGGGAACTGCTATTAAATAATCATTACAAGAAAGTCTTAAGGTCTCAAAAATGTATGATGATCACAAAAAAAAAAATTAGCATTGGGCCGGGGATTTAGCTCAGTGGTTCCAGCTCCTGCCTTGCAAGCGTAAGGTCCTGAGTTCGATCCCCAGTGCCAAAAAAAAAAAAAAATTAGCATTGGATGAACTTTTAACATTACCAAGTCACAAAACAAGTTTCCATGTAATGTCACAGACATGTTTTGGGGCCAAAAATTTCTTGATAAATATTAACAACAATAAAAAATTCTAGGTATTTTCCTACTCAATTCCTTGAGTCCTCACAGGTGAAAATAACAAACCTCCTATTGTTGTCTCATAAAATTCCGGGAGACTCACCACGAGAAGCATGTTAAAGACTTAGATTTTAAAGCAGCAAAGTGATATTAATCCGCAAAAGAAAAAGATTTTGGTAGATTCTGCAGAAAGATATAATGCAATTCCCCTCTGACACCTCATTACTACCGGTAAAAAGTACAGCTTTGTGTCTTCTATATATCAAATATTCACTCCAATGAAGTAAGTGCAGAATAATGTTGTGTATCGTTGCCAACTGTTGTAAGTCCTACAAAAATAATACAAATATACTTAAATATTGGCCCTTAATGTTTGTTAGAAAATCATACCAAGTATGTTAAATAAAAACATGTATTTTCATTTAAAAAACAAATCAGAGTTGCAATTTCAAAACTAAATATAACTGAGTCCAAACCCTCTCATGTGTAGTGAAAGGGACAAAATCTCTAGGGAGTGGTTATCTAGCATCACATAACTAGTTCATAGTTACTCATTGGCAGAGATGAAACTAGCACTCAGGTTTCCTGGGTCCCTATCCAGTATCTCTTACCTGTACTCTATAAAAACTTTCCAAGGGTCTCACTGCCATATGTCAGAAAGTAGATCAACTTTTTCTTGAATTCTAAAGTACTCAAATCAAAGCAGCAGTATTGGAAAAGCCTGGGTGATGACCTTAAAACTTTATACTATAAAACCCTTAAAGAGCTACAAAGCATAGTGGCTCTAAGGCAGAGAGTTCTATCACATAACAGGCTGCTTGTTGGATGAATGGCTGAATTAGTTCTTAAATATTACAGACAGTCATTGTACTGACCTCTAGGAAATCAACACATCTAGTTCAAAAATGTCTGTCCTTCTATCTCCTCTGAACAGGGGAGCAGGAGTAAGAGTAGTAATATGATTACCTTTAAGTAGTATTAAAATAAGCTAAAACATTTTTACCGGCAAAATGGTGAGAAAGCAAAAAGCATTTAGAGCCCAAATACGGGCTGGACAACTAATACACAGGGTGATATTAAAAAATTAGGTCTGAGGGCAGGGCAGACCCCTATCCTCTCTAAACTCCTGTCCTCCTTCCTGTCCCCACACCCACTGAAAGCCAATAATCAAGACCTAGCCTTGCAATTCCTCTAAAACACAAGAAACCTTATCTCCAGAAAGGGAGACAGGCAGCAGGGAAGAGAAAGCAAGCAAGGGAGCCAGGAAGTCAGCAGAGCTCAATTCTGAGCACTGTGCAGCTTAGAAATCTGAAGAAAAAGTATACCCAAAATCACATGCTCAGGAAATCTAACTTTAGGCCTGGGGATTTAGCTCAGTAGTGCCGCCCTGCTTCACAAGCAGAAGGTCCTGAGTTTGATCCCCTGGTACCAAAAAAAAGAAAGTCTAACTTTAACATAATCACCTCTCGATGCCTTAAAGAATGATCTAAAATTGACAAATAACACAAACAAGCATCACTCCTTATTAATAGTTTTCTTGATTTCATTTCTTTTCCTTCCATTCTTTTTTGTTTCTTTTTTTCCTTTCTTTTTTCCTTAAGATATTTCTGAACATGTACATTTATTCTTATTCCTGTTCCACTTCCTACTACCCTGCTCAGAAAGAGACAGAAGGGGAGGCATTTTGAACCAGAAGAACTTTGGGAATTATCAAAGAAGGAACTGAGCCCAGAAAGAGAAAAACAATCATTGTGCCTGGGTTGGTGCACTGCATAAAATGGTAAAAGGGGGAGGGGGTCAGAATGTTTTCGAAGTTACTTTTTTCATCTGAGTAATCGCTCCTTTCTCCACTATTTCATGATATCAGGCATACTTATAATTCAGATGTAAACCCCAAACAAAAACTATATTGCTGTTACTACTTCGTTTTATTAGCCTTACCTAGAATAGCTCTGAATGTACTTCCATCTAGAAGTCCCAGGTAAATTTCAAAGGAAATCCTACCAAAAGCTTTAATTTTTTAATAAAGCATTCCATGAAACTATACCATAACCGTTTTGCAGATCAGACTTTTCCACCGTGACTACATGAAGCAGCAGTCTGTGCATAATGTGTGTTGCTTCCACACACAACATTTCATTTTAAAGCAAAATAGGGGAATATTTTAAGTTTGAATGATGCAAGTTGGGGAGGGGTGAAAAAAAAAAACAACAGGGAAAAAGCATCAATATATGTATAGGAAACTAGGGGATTCCCTACCTCCCTGCCTTGTGAGAAACCAGATATCATTCAATGATGTTTGAGTATCTTATCTCTGGTAAGTAGTGTTTGTCCAGGGCAGTTTATGGGGAGATAAAAAGGGAGACTCTGCCTCCTAAAAGCTCACTCTCCTTAAAGGGAGGATTGAACATATTTAAGTACCAAACTATCATCAATATTTGCGACAGGAGAAATCAAGTAAAAGTGAAACTAGAAAGAACAGAGGTGAGACTTGACTGTCAAAACCTGAAGAGGTGAGAATCTGAAGGTATAATGGGGGGGGCAGAATATTTCAAGAAGAATATCCTGAAGCAAACATCCAAAGGATTGTGGAAGCCTGTAAGGGGGTAGGAGAAGATAAATGGGGTGATCAGATCAGTATGCAACTGGACAATAGAGAGCCCTGAAGGTCTGGCTGAAAGATAGTGAAAATGAAGGAGGAGCGGTTGATAGAAGATGTGCAGGCTGGGACCGGGGATTTAGCTCAGAGGTTTCGTCACCTGCTGTGTAAGCACAAGGACCCCAGTTTGGTCCGGTACCAGAAAAAAAAACAAAAAAACAAAGAAGATGTTCGGGTCAGCAATAAAGACAGCTGACTGAGAGTAATGGGAGGGATCAAAGGCCAAGGGAGTGGCCAGAAAGAAGCAATAATGCAGTCGAGGTTAAGTGACAAGGGACTGCACAAAGACAGCACAAGGTGAAGGAAAGGTATCAAGGAAAAATGGCTAGGGGCCAGACTAGATACAAAGGACAAAGGAGAGGGTAAATCAAAAATAACACCAATTTGTCACTGACTGATACAAATAAGGACAAGTTTGGAAGCTGAGTGCGAACTTTAGCCTTTTGAGAGTAGTAGGTGAGAAACCAGAGCCAGAACTCTAGATCACCTGTTTATAAATAAATAAAAATCTGTTCCATGGGGTTGAATCACCTCACCAAAGCAGTGAGGATATAGAGAGAAGACTGCACAGTTCGCTGACCAAATATGTTCTTCAAAATGCACATGAAGGAAGCAAAGGCATAACCCACAACCTAAAGAACAGATAAAGAGCAATTACAGGTGGTTCTGAGAGAGGTGGCAATCTCAGCAGGTAAGAAGAGAGTTAGTGGAGGTAAGGGGCTAAGCTAGATAATGGGGTCAAGGTCTTAACCCTGGGGAAAACTTGGCAGGTGGTATGGGGCAGTTCAAGAATGTTCCTGTGAGCAAGAGGAACCAGGACCTGCAGATCCTAATACTAAGTCCATCAGGGATTGTCCTGGTAACCTTGCAAAGTCACTCTTTGCCCCCAAATCATACTCCATAAAACACCAGTAGAGACCAGACAGTGCTCAAGGGCAGAATAAGGATAAAATAATAGAATGTAAGTGTTAGGAGATTTGCTAAGTACAAAAAACACTGTGTGGATATAACATTATTATTTAGGGAGGAATGAGTATTTCTCAAATAAGGTTAGTGACAGAGACACTCACTACAAAATTTTCCTACCAATACTGCTAGTGTATACCCTCGCCCCAACCTGGATGGTGGCCCTGTTTTGGACGCTGAATACCACAGCATGCATTTGTTTTAATTACTCATCCCCAGCTTCCTGGTATGATACACTCAGCTTACGCAAAGCCCAAATAGGACAATGAAATGCTGTTCTTTTCCTCTTGAGTTTGAGGGGTTTTTTTTCTTCCTCTCCAGTATTGTTTTTCCCTTTCTCTCACCCTATCTTGTTCTTACTCTCTTTCTTACTTCCCCTTACTCCCACTCTATCTCCATTAATACATATAGGCAGAAAAGTCTACAAGATATTTGCAGAAGAAGGAGAAAACAGAGTTGGTAATCAGCATTAATATTCCTTAAAACACCTTCACCCCTTGACCTTTATCCCTAACTTTCACTGCTTTCTCCCCCTCACTAAATGGAGACCTGTTTGACAAGTTTCCTCCAAGCCCTGCTCTCCTGATTGGCTTAGTGAGAA